TGATATTCAGTTGAGAAATTTTGGACATCGGTTTTAATTTGTGCTTTACTCAGACTGGATCACAGAAGTCTACTGCACCTTTGCTTTCAAGTTACACTTTTACATTTCAGTTGTCAAGAGGACATGACATTGTAACACAAAAACAAAGTGTGTTGCTCTATTGATTTATGAGGGAAAAACTCAAAAACACTGTGAATTTGCAGTAGACGATGGGGTTTTGTTTCAGACAGCTCTGTCATCTCATTTCCGTTTGACAACTGCAGCTACTGTTGCATAAGCTTCCTTTTTCTGAACAGCTCCAGTATATCTTCATAACCCAGCCTTACCTTGGAAAAACTGGAAAAGGTTTTTGCTGCCTTTTTTTGAAACCTGATTTGCATTTTTTAGGCACCATCTATCTTTGAATTAGAAAAGAAACTCTTGTTCTTTACTTGTAATGAAGTGGTTATGTAAAATTAGTCTTTAAGTATGATTAATAAATGAAGCAGTTTGATTACAAACTTTCAGGAAGCCTAAAAGTCAAATGGGCCTCTGTCTTTTCAGGGCCCTTGGAATCGTCCCAATTGTCCACCTCTTTACAGCACCCCTGCACCTATGTCATGCAAGTGGCCACTCGCAGCACAAAGAGAGGATGAGACAAGGACCAGATTATTCAAGCAGAGCACACTCGTCCTCAGCTATGTAAGCTGTAGTGTACTAATTAGCCATATTACAGACATTAATGCAGCCTGGCGAGCTCTTTAAAATAAAATAAAAAAAAAACTGAAAAACTAATTTCCATTCCGGTGGAGCCAATGGAAATTCTTTACAGTGTAGATGTGTTCATTTATTCCCAAAAACAAAAATGTAAAAATTTATATTTCTGAAATGTCCCCCAACAAGTAGTTGGGCAGTAGTGCTCTGCATATTTGTATGTTCTTCAGTCAAGTTGGAGAAACATCTCAGGTGGTTCCTCATAAAGCTGCAGGACAGAATACTAGGAGTGTGTAAAACTGCATCGAGGCAAAGTTACTTAGCACAGGAGAAGACGTGTGTTACCATATGTGTTACTCTAACATTATTACTTACTCAATGTATTGTAACCAAGGTCTTATCTGGCCAATAAAACTGACCAATTTGGGTTCTTATCCCCTCACTTTGTATCCAGCTCACCAGTTTTGAGCTCCTTCTTACTCGCTAACATGATATACCCCCCACGTTTTCTTTCCTCGACTACACGATTTCTTGAAGCATTTCAGCACTGAGTTTCCAACCATTTACTCGAAGGTCAAGGTGTTTTCATAGCTAGTGCTTAGCTGCGGCTCTCTGAGAGCAGGCTGCGCTGAGGCGGAGGGGACATAAATGAGCTAAATATAGCTGCCACGTTGAATATTCACAAATGAGTTAAGGGGATATTAAATCTAGAAAGTGGTGGACGGCATAACGATAACTGCCACATTAGCAGTCGAGCCGGCGACAGCTTCAAGGTGCCTTTAGAAAATGGACGTCCTGTCGGGAAGAATGAAGGAACAATAATAAAGGCGAAAGTGCAAGTGGGTGAGGGCCTTTCCAAGAAAAATGATGGAGTAATAAATGTGAGAGCTGAGTAATACATGAACAGGAGATGAGGGACAGATATAAACGGCACACACTATTGCTTTTTCAGTCTGTTTTTCAGGCCTTAACTATTATGTATTTTTATTCAGGCAGCAATAGGTGGCATAATTTACTTTGGTTTTTTTCAACTGAATGTCTGAATTTATCAAACTTTTCAAAGGGTGCTGATCTGGGATTTGGATTTGAATGCCAGTAGGGACATCAAATCAAAGCCTTAAGCTACAACTCTAGCGTGATGGAGGCAGAGGCGTAGCCAAGGGGTGACCGGGGTGGCCAGTGCCATCCTGCAAAGAAGCATGGCCGCCCTTCTGACCACCCCAGTTATGGAAAGTGAGACAGTGAGCTATCATCAGTCAGCCACATTATGTAGTAGGATACTCAGTGGTAAGATGTCAGCTATAATTGTTAATCATGCTGACTAATTACTTTTTTAGTCATATGCATGCATGTGTTGTAGGTTAGCTTATACAGTGCTGTCTGGCTGGCTCTCCAAACATTAGACTCACATATATTCTGTAATGAATGCAATCTAAATGAATCACTTCTATGACCCGTCTATATTAAATGTTTTTCTTAATGTTGTGTGGTGAAAACATATTTTACTCATTTATTTCCTAATAAATGAGTAAAATATGTTACATCAACACAGTTTTGTCTTTCAGTTTACTTTTGGCAGTTGTTGCACTGATTTAATATTTTATTTATGTGGAAATGATGGAAAAACAGCTTCACGTTTAATGACATTTTAATACAGTAACTATTTTATTTATTTATTTTTATTCTCTTAGCAGTTCTTAGCATTCTCTTATTCTTCTGCCACCTCAATTAAATCTCTGGGTCTCACCTGGCTGCCCCCATTCTAAAACTGGAAGGCAGAGCAGACGGTTTGGACATTCATGTTTACTAATAGGAGTGTCACTCGAGGTTTTTGGAAAGGGGGCTAAAGGGGTCTTGGGCCATGCTCCCCGCAAGTGGATGTTTTTAATGGCTCCAAAATGTCAGACTTTTAGAGTAGCAATAGGTAGAAAATTGGGTAACTTTATTTGGAGTGGTCCTTTGTAGATGATTAGTAAACTCTTAACAGATTATCAGTAATGCATCAACAACACATCAGTGAAGAAGCATCTGAATACAGTGAAGTAAATATCTTAAAGATGTACTGTTGATACATTACTTACATTAAGTAAATAGATGGTTGATATGTTGCATGAAGTAGACTTAATATTTTACTTCCATTACACAAAACCTGACCTTTCCCAACCTAAAACCTAATTCTAACCCTAATCTTAACCTTAACCTCAACCCAAAACCTAATCCTAACCCTCACCCTGGCCCTAATCCTAATCCTAACCTAATCCAAACCTAATAGAGTTAATCTCCACTGACAGAATGATGTCAGCAGTGTGTCTATAACATCTTGTTGAGGATGTTGAGATGTATGTCTGTATTAAACCTGTTACATGTTCAGTGACCTCTCAGGTTAAACATCTATAGAAATGAATTTGGGCACCAAATAAAGTAAAAAACATCTGAAACATCTTCAGTAGTCTCTTCATAATCTACTGAATGTATTCAAATGTTTCACTGCCGCTACGTCTTTGGTATGTTGTTGAAATGTTACTGAGAGTCTGCTGAGTGTTTATTTCAAAGGACTACTTAAAATAAAGTGTCATTGAAAATTGATGAAAAAAATGGGTGTTTGGTCAAGCTGGCACTCCTCATAGTGTATTAAGCACAGATCTTTTACGGCTTAAACACCACTTACACAGTTCACAGATCAAACAAAGGTATTAAAGTCAATGCTATCTCCTCTCTCTTAGATAAGCTGCAGCTTCTAAATGTGTTCTTCAAACAAACAGATTACACACTCTCGGAAATAAAGGTAGTAAACTGTCTCTTGTCACTGGGGTGGGACCCTCAAGGGTACATCTCAGTACCTTTAGTCAGAGAACATAATTGTACCATAATCCATTGAAATTATATTTTCTAGGTTGTATTGACTCCACACACCCCGTCTCGCCTCCAGGCTTTTATTTTATTGTTCTGTTTTAAAACATTCAGTTATGAAAGGTACAAATATGTATTTTTCACCTGGAAAAACTTATTTAAGGTTCACAACTGGACCCTAAAACCATTGTTGTACCTTTGAGGGAACATTTACATTGTTTATACCTTGATGAATGAAAAATGTACCTGCACAGTGTCTTTATTTCTAACAGTGTAGATTGGTACAGTCTCAGTTTGTGCAACCAGATTGTTCAGAGTGTGATTTTGTTTTGTAGCTGTGCGTACATGTTTAATGGTTTAAGTGACATTTCACAGGACAAAAATAACATTTTCTCATTTTTTTTTATTTCGTCTCACAAATAAGGATATATTAAAGGAATAACATCTAAAAATTCAGTATTGTTTTTTAACTGGAGTGGTTGGTGTAGTGTAGTGGGTAACACCTCTGCCTTCTACACTGCCTGGGGTTCAATCCCTGCCTGGGTAAGCACCCTACACTATACCAATGAGAGTCCTTGGGCAAGACTCCTAACACTACCTTCGCCTACCTGTGTAAAATGATCAAATTGTAAGTTGCTCTGGATAAGAGCGCCTGCCAAATGCTGTAAATGTAACTGAAACCTTACCACTCACTTGCTTTCTTCTTGATCACTGACCTTTATCAGACCTGCTTCTTTAGCTCAGTATCCTTCAGCTTCTTTGTCATCCTCTCTGTGCTTAGTAATGTTATTGTCATTAAACTCAGATTTATATGAACTCAAGGATCAATCAGTCCATTTTTCAGGTTTGACCTGGCACAAATCATCCCACCTGACTGGCCTTCTGCAGAGCTGCCTCCTCTTAATGACCATCTACAGACTGAGGAGTTCAGGGGATCTAAAACTGAGCTACGATCAATACAACACCAGTATTAACTGTACATAATAAAAACATTATGTGGCTAATGCTGGTGTGATTGCTTTGTAATTCTTAACAGAAGTATGAAATACTGGCCCTTTGTGAGTAAGACTGGTGGTCCCTGCTAAAGGGGGTCTGGATAAAGTTTGTTAGCTAGCTACACTCTTAAAAAAGATGGTTCTTTAAGGGTTCTTTAGTAAAAACAATGGTTCTATATAGGACCAGGAACACTCAAAGAACCATTTGCATGCTTAAACGGTTCTTTGCATGGTGAAGTTGTTCTTCAGATTGAAGGAGAATGTGTTCTATATGTTCTATATAGCACCAAAACGGGCTCTGCTATTGTTAGGATGTCAAGTTTGTAACGATGGTTCTATATACAACCATATACAACACATTCTCCATCAATCTGAAGAACCATTTCACCATGCAAAGAACCATTTAAGCATGGCTCTATATAGATCCATTGTTTTTACTAAAGAACCCTTGAAGAACCGTCTTTGTAGCTTTTGGAGAAGTAATCTAAGTCAATTGCGATTAACTTTGGCTACTAGTTTCTGCAATTAACTAATATGCTTATAAACTAAAGTACATTTAGAAACACCATTGAAAAGTTTAGAATTAGGGCTAAAACAATTACAATATATCAATAATGTCGCAGCTATTCACTTACGGTGCCGTACCTACGTTAGCAGATAGCGAAAGTGGCAGATTTTATATTTTATTTTTTTCCAATATGTTAACATGTAAATTGTAAATTGCCCTTGAACCGCCAACAAAGTTGTATTTACACACCTGGTAAACTCAGGATTCTAGACGATACACAACTTTTCATCTTTAATAAGAGTGAAAAACTTCTAGTGACTTCAAAAAATATAATCGCTTCTTTTAGATCTATGTGCTTTTTTAAAACAACAAAGGAAAAGGCTGGATTGTATTCTCTGGACCTCCATGCTTTCTTTTTCCTTGTGGTGGGCGTATCTATGAACAAGCACCTGAACAGAGTGTAGTCGTGTTTACTACTTAGCCATCTGGTATATTCAACCTCCCACTCAAATGCAGCAGTAGTCCCTATCAAATAGGTAGGAGGAGCTGATCATGGATCAAGAATTGCTTTATTTTGTGTGTAGAAATGCCACACTGTCGAGGTACAGGGTGAAAACTTTAGTCTACTCTACAGCTGTTGCTGGACCAATTCTTCATGCCATTTTTAATAGATAATAGATCATGTTTAGCATCAATGCTGACTTGTTGTGTCCACTCTTGTATTAGTGCTCCAGTCCTCCAGAGGCTGCTGTATTTATATCTGAGCATCACACACTGAGGAGCGTAAGCGTCCAAACTTTAACAGGAAGTCCTCCTGCGCCCGTACCAAAGCCTCCTCATCTATGTACACCGCCGCCCTCCTGGCTGTGAGGTAGTACTGCACCTTCCTGAGGCTCCAGCCCAGCACGTACATCAGCAGACCACACACGGCGGCTGTGGAGCGCCCAACACCGGCGTTACAGTGCACATACACCGTGTGACCGTTCTCTAACAGGCCGTATAGCAGGAACACAGCCTGAGGCAGCATCCGCACACGACCTGCAGGGCGTAACGTAAACCACAAATCATAAGGATGTTAATGTAACTAGAATGTTCTACTTTTGCAGGCAAACGAAAAGGGGATATAATGTATATATTACAACAAATTTCATTTATGTATTGGCTTAAGAAATGCACTGATCATATTACAACATATTTCATTTATGTTCTGGAAATGTTGAAATGTTGACAACAAATAAAAACATTTCATTTTCATACAGGAATTCATGTAAAAAAAATTATTCTATTCTGTTCTGCTACTATATAACTTTTAAATAGGTATTAAATACATAAGTGTTTGGAATCACTGCTCTCAATAATTAAAAATAAATGCAGTTCAATTTTAATATGCTATTCCTGTGTAATTTCACAGGTTTCTGATAATGAACGAGGAAGCTGTAAATAAAAAAGGAAGGTTAGAATGATGAACTGAGCTGTAGAAAAGTCTAAAATGACAGAGAAAGCTTTACAGCAGTGAGAATGAAATGAATATGCAGAATTAGTCTCAAGAATCAAATCTCAAGGCAGATAACTTGACAAAACATTACTTTAAACCAGGCATGTCAAACTGGGGACCTTTCGGGCTGTGGAGATTTGTGTTTACCTTCAGCTAACGCTCTGAATTCAGTTCATGAAGGCCTTGTTAATTAGCTGATGAGCTGAGTCAGATGTGTTTAATGAGTCAGTGTGCTGAAGTCTGCAGTGTTTTGGCCCGCGAGGACTGGAGCCTGATACACAGATAATTACAGTATTATTTTTACCATTGTATTCACACTTTTCTTGCAATATTAAATAAAACTTTGAAAAATCACCTTTTGGGGAACAGTTTGTTATATTTTCTATATATGTTCTAAATTAAATGAGACATTGTGTATAAATTAATAAAGAAAATATTACATATAGCACATAATTAGAAAGTTTTGAAGTGTGATTTTTAGGAATCTGTAGAAAATGAAGAAATGTTAGATGTGTCCAGAATGATGCAGAGGCTGTAGAACATTCTACAACTGAGAAAGCTGCTCAACACTGAGAATAAAGTTAATTAATACAATTAATATCCAGAATTCATTATATTTCAAAAGTGGTGATCTCAATTGTATGATATAAATGTCAAACCTCGGTCAAAAACGAGAAAAATACACCTCTACAATAATGCCAAATATGTTAGCGCTATGCTAACACTGGTGCACATGAACAGTTTTGGCTGTTCTTAATTAAAGCAGTCATTTGAAGCATGTAAAAAGACATATATTTGACCTTCTAGCAGTAGCAGTTTTACCTGCAGTAAAGAGCTAAAATCTTTACTGTTTAATTTCGGACTGAAACTATTGGTCAGGCTACCACTCATACTCGCAGTCAGTGATGTGTCTAGGACTTCCAGAAGACCTAGAATGATGATTTGTCTCACAACATTGAACCCACTTTGGAAATCAGAAGCCGATTGGGTGATTGGTTAACATTAATGGTTAATCTGACATGTTAGGCCTTCAGTTCAGCTCCTAACCAATGGAAGAGCTCGCTTGGCTGTGTCTAATTAGATACTATAGAGACAAGAACATTGATTGGTCAGTTTTCCATTGAGTGCTTCAAGAATGTAACCCTTTTGTTTTAACAGTGAAATTAGAGTACTCCTTGCTAGAAAAAAAGGCACGGTCACCAGCAAATCCAGTATATTGTCAACAGTGGATATCTTGTATCTTCAAAATGGTAACTTTGCAGGAGAAGGAAAAATAATTGTAACTTTTAATAGAAGTCAATGTAAAGATGTTATTCAAAGGAATTTTGGAGCATTTCTGTTGGTCAGTTCACCATGACATTTTCACACAATGTAAAGGGCAGCTGGTATTTTCAAATTATGTAAAAATGTTTTATTCTGACAGTGAAGATACATTGTGTTTTGGATGCTGGTAAACCAACACCAGACCTACATAAACCAGCTTAGACCATCTCAGAATTCATGTTTTTAGTAGGGCTACTACAGTACTTGCAAGGGTTTAAACAATCATGATGATTATATTAAAGAAAAATAAACCAAAATTGTTACAGGATGTATTTTTCTATTCACAGAATCCATTAGGCCTTCATAAAGCATACTAAGACCCAAGGGTTCCCCACTGACTTTATAACATGTGAATGTGAACACATATATTATACATATATATATTAATATAACAATATATTATACATATGAGTACAATCTCAGCAATCACTGATATGATGTGATCCGCACAGCAGTGTATGTAAAACACTCTACATGGAGATCCTCCATTGGAGGTTCTTTCATTAGTAGATGGAGGATATATGCTGTGTTCTGAGCTCTCCCGCTGTTCATTGTTTTCTAATTTACATGATGCATGTAGCAACCACTGACCATACGAGAAATAAAAGGAAATGCTGCAGCAGAGACTATAACTAATACGGCCAGCCAATTTTCCGTCTCTGTGGATGAAGGATCATAATTGTGACCACAGCGAAGCAGAACAGAGAGACACAAAGTAAGAGCTGCATCTAATGCATTTCCTGTGCATGGGCCAGGAAAATAATCGAACTATGCGAAGCGATTATCCTGCATTAGTGGAGTAAGAGACGTGTTTATCTCTAAGCGTATTCGGGCTTATCTTTCTCTCTCATGCTGTCTCTGAAGTAAAAACTATCACACTGTGTTTCCAGCTGTCCCTAACATTCAGTTATCAGTTCCAGAGTGTAAACAGTGCCATCCTCAGCCACCGACAGCAGCGGGGTCAGACTGGGGTCAACACACGTGGGACGAGTTTGAAATCGGTAGCAGGCCATGCCTCAGTATTTCAGCTCAAAGCAATTCAGCTCCACCTACATAGTGCAAGCCACGACTGCATGATGTATCATTTGTTGATATCAGCTTCTGCAATACTGATATCACAAAAGGCTGCAGTCTGCAAATGAACTTTCTAACCAATCGCAATGCCTTTTTTACTGTGTGCTTCAATCACAGTTTCAGATGAGTACCAGCGGATGCCTTGATGAATCATGGTACGCATGCAAGCCAATAAAATTCAGTTATTTTGGTCAAAATAAAGCAGACCAATTTAAAATCATGTCACATTAGTTCATTAAAATAGTTGCAATATAATCACAATACATTTTGACAGATTTTGTCCACATCATGCAGCCCAATTGGATCTTTTTTTCCATTATTTGAAAACACCAGCTGCCCTTTACATTGTGTGTACATTTCATGAAGAGTAGACCAAAAGAAACTGGGAATTAAATCTTGTTATATTAACTTACATAAACGGTCAAGAACATTTTTCCTTCTTCTTAAGAGGTGTTTAGTTCCAACAGCAAAAATTTGTACATTTACATATATAAACATATCGCTGTTGTCGGAACAAAACCTTGTATCTCCAAAATGATAACTTTACAGGAGAAGGAAAAAACATGCCTGACTTTTAATGTAAGTCAATGGAACCAGACTTTTTTCCAAGTCATTTTGTGCCACTTTTTTGGTCCATTCATCATGAAATTTACACATAATGTACAGGACAACAGACATTTTCAATACACATAGATCACAGATTATAAAGTTAAAAAGTCTAAGTCAGAGACCACCCTTCATGTATTTAATTTCTGGTCAAAACAGCCATTAAGTTATTCCTTTTCAGGAGATGTTTCTGAGGAGAGATAATAACATAATCCACTTGCATAGGAAGAAGAATTGAAAATGAGTGAAAAACAGGGGTTTCCAATCCTTGAAAAATGTTATTAAAAGATACTGAGAAAATGGGACTCCTAACAACCACCTGAAAGACCTGGGTAGACACCAAAACTGCCTCCATCAAATAACTTTTTCTAGATCGCTGTACCGGCACACTTCTGTCAAAGCGATCACTTATGATTTTTTAAACATCATTTTTATGCATCAAATCGTACAGCAATACAGTGATGCAATACATTGTTAGAAAGCTTGAAATCTCAGGATTTGTTTCGCTGAAAACATTTCATGATCCGTTATTCACAGCAGTAATGATCGTCTCATTTGCAACATAAGCACTGAATAAGCAAACGCAAGCAAATCTGTGGATTCTTACCTTCAAAGCCTCGCTGCTATCTACAGAGACATCATAACCCAAAACATGTGGTCCTGATAACATGGCAAGAGTCAGAGATCAATCTAGAGATCTATGAGTCAGGTAAAAATACACTCCTCCATTCTAGTCTCTGTTACTCTGTTTCAGTAATGCATACAATTATTCTGATTATTCTGAAAACCTGGGAGTGTTACCTTTCAAATGAGACCAAGATCATGACTGTAGCCCAAAGTATGTGGGAACAGTGCTCCTTTTACTTTGGGCATGCGAATGGGGCAACAGTTAAAAGGATAAACAGCACTTCATCTATGAGAGAGAGGAGAAAACTGAGCTCCACTGTTGCTTCAGATCTGAAAAAAATCCACAGGTGTTTCTTTCCATCCTTCCACATAGCTCAACCTTATGGGTCTGAAACTGTCACTGGGATTTCTTGGATTGTGAGAAGCAGAAAATGCAACCAACTTCTAAGACTGAACTTTGGAGGTGTGGAAAAATAAAGCAAGTCTCCTGAAAAGAGTGGAAGCTGAAATAAAGACAAAGAGTGGACACACTAAATACTCCATACTCTATACAATATTAATAGTTGTTGGGACTTCTGTTTCACTTTCTGCTGGACATGTCCTGAGGTTGTAAATAAATAGCTTGTACTTGATGGCTGTTATGACTGGGAACAAAATAAATGAAGGGTGGTCTCTGACTTTTGCATAGCACTGTGTGTCTAATAAAATTATTTTGGAAAAAGATCTCTGCTGACATAAAACACTCTCATTGATATATTAATTCCGTGGGACCTTCTTGTTGTGGTCCTTGGTTCATCTACCGATAAAGTCTTATCTGATTCAGCCAAACTGATCTGAGGTTCTTTATCGGCTGCAGGGAAATGTATTTTGGTTAACTGTGTATCAGATAAATCCTCTATCACAGAGTGGAATAAATCCCATAAATAGCACTGTTCCTTCTGAAAGCCTCAGCTAACTGGAGGAAAATAAGCTGCAGACGTTATAGAGAGTTCTTGATCATAGAGGAAATGTAATGTGTTATATTCCCCTGTATTATTAATCTTATTATTATTATAATTATTAATGTTTTTCCTATTTTCTTTTCTCATTTACGATCAACTGGTTCTTTGCACTACGCTGCTGACAAAATACAAATTAAGGCTGGAGGTTGAAAGTGATAGTTTGGCAAAAAAAAATCAGCCCAAATCAGCCAGTAGACAGTTAACCAAGACGTTTAGTGTACTAAAGTTAGTTTTCTTAGTCTAACACTGGAGATACGAGGCTAAGGTAGCTAACGTAACAGACCAGTAGGCCTGGGTGGACTTTTAATGTTCTCTCCGTGTCTGCGTGGGTTTCCTCCCATAGTCCAAATTTAGGGGACATGCAGCCAGGCTAATTAGGCCCTGGACAGGTCGCCAATTCCTAGAGGAGTCTGCCCTGTGATGGACTGGTGACCTGTCCAGGATGTTTCCTGCCTTCCGCCCAATGACTGCTATGATAAGCTCCAACACCTCTGGCGTCCCAGGAGGAAAAGCGGATTGAAAGCTGTGTGTTATGTGTAACACTGTATGTATGGAGAATGTGTTGTATATGGTTCCATACAGAACCTTTTTGAAAATGGTTCTATATAGCACAGAAAAGGGTTCCTCTATTTAATGTTAAGCTTGTAACAAAAGATGAACCATTTTTGGTGCCATATGGACCCATTCTCCATCAATCTGAATAACCATTTCACCATGCAAAGAACCATTTAAGCATGAAATGGTTCTCATAAGGAGTGAACGAAGAACTTCTGTCCATCTTTATGAATAATAGCACGTCATACAGTGTCAGAAACCATATTAGCGTATTTGAGTGATGTTACTGTGATGATTTAGGCCTGCAGTTTGCATGATGCTAAATGGTGGTGGGTTTGCTTCTATTATAGGGACAATTTGGTAAATCAGACTTTTTGCAAAGCTAAAAAAACACATGGTGCAAACACAAAGCCCCAAAATTCAAACACAGTTACCCTCAGTGCTCATGTCCGGCGTGGGGATCCAGACGTAGGCCAGGCCGCAGTCCCTGTACAGGTGCATCATGATCTCCGGGGTCATGGCTTCGTCAGGGTTGCGTCGGCAGCCGTGCGAGTTGTTCAGCACGTCCCACTCCGTCTGGAAGTTCATCACCGCGGTAACACCAAGCTCGTGCTTCAGCTTCAGGGTCACATGCTCCACCCGCCGGGGGCAGCTGCCCAGCCACACCCGCGGCAGGACCCTGCACAGAGGAGGTGGGTGTGACTTTGTTTTGCTGTCGTGATGGGAACCGAACGACCCCCTGACGTTAAGAAAACATGGACATTTGGTAATACTATACCTGAACACAGCTGCAAAACATTGACATAACCATGCCATAAACATGCCAGAAGCTGTTATAAGTTGTCGTAACAGATTATGTTCTTTAATATAACAGTGTCAGTAATTATCATGACAGATGTCATCATGTTTGATGTCATGATGGCTATTTAGAGTACAATTTTACACTAGAGAAAACATGAGCTATCATGACATCATTATGACAACTGCCATGACAATTACTGTTAATAACTCATAACAGCTTATTGTCGCTGGCAAGTATGTTGAAAATGGTAACTTTACAGAAGAAAGCAAAAACATTCTTAACTTTTAATGTATATCAATGTGATGAGATTTATGAGATCATTCTAGAGGATTTCTGATCCACTCATCATGAAATTTGTATGTGATGTAAACAGCAGCTGATGTGCTCAAATGATGCAGAAAAATAAAGCGGCAAAGTATTACCGAAAATTCTGAATTCTGGGAAATTTAGTGCCACCTACAAAGGCATCTTTTGACAGAAAAACTAAGGCTTTGTTCACATTACCAGGTTAAAGTGGCACAAATACGATTTTTTGCCATAATGTGACACAAATCTGATCTTTTCAAATCAGATCTGAGCCACTTTCATATTTCATATGGTCCTAGATCATATGCAGATCTGATGTTTTCAGAGCTGTCTAGACACAAATCTGTTCTTTTTTTTTTTTCCAATCTGAGCCACTTTCATATTTGGTCCTAGATCATATAAATATTTGGTTTGTGTGTCTCCATAGCTCTGAAAAGATCAAATCACATAAAGGTAAAAATCACATTTAAATTATTTCAGCTAAGGAGAAATTTAGTGCAAGCTAAAAAAGACATCTCATTCAAAAAATGAAGGTTATGTTCATATTACCAGGTTGAATCCAAATTATTTTTCCTTAATGCAATATAGATCTGATTTTTACGGTGCTGCGTAGACACAAATCTGATCTTTTCAAATCTAATCTGAGCCACTTTCTTATTTGGTCCTAGATCATGTACATATCTGATTTGTGTATCTGCACAGCTCTGAAAAGATCAGATCACATTAAGGGGAAAAAATCACATTTAAATTATTTTGGAAAAGGAAATTTAGTGCAAGAAAAAAGGCATCTTACTAGAAAAACAGAAACTACATTCACATTACCAGGTTGGATTCGATTTATTTTTTTCTTAATGCAACACCGATCTGATGTTTACAGATCTGTGTAGACACAAATCTGATATTTTTCAAATCTAGTTTAAGCCATCTCATATGCAGCCATAAATCGGATTCATATCCAATTTGCGGCTGTGCTACCTGAATAGTAATGGTAAGATTGGAATTCAGGTGGGCAGCAGTGCTTGTTAGTTTAAAACACAATGCTAATTAGTTCATTTCTTGTTCAGGAGGCACTTGCTCAATTCCCGTGACTTTACTGAGTTGGATGTGTGCAAGTGGCTCGCTTCAGCACACAGGTTCATTCACATTACAAGATACAAATCATTTTCCAAGGTAAATGTGACCTATCAAGTTAGAAAGATTGGATCTGAGCAAAAAGTCAGGATTGAGTAATAAGACTTGTAATGTGAACGTAGCCTAGAAGAGATAAATCTGAATCTAACTTTACAAAAATCCACAGATCACACAGGTGAAAAACCATAAATCATATTATCAGTAGAGAACAGAAGAATAGAGAAGAGAAGGCGGAACTGGGAGGAGAAGGATGGTGACGCTATCATAGGGGGAAGCCCTGAAGAAGAAAGAAAGAGAAAGAGATGAGGATGGAGAGTGAGATGAGAGAAGAAGTGAGCAGAGCGAGGGAGCGAGGAAGGGGGCAGAAGCGCGTGTGGAGAGCAGAGGACAGTTTGTGCAGTCACTGGTCAGAATCCTGAGCAGGCCGGGGGTATTTTTAGAGCGTGGCTGGCAGGCAGACCATCAGCTCCCCCTTCTCTCTCTCTCTCTCTCTATCATCTCATTTATCTATTTCTCACCCTCGCTCACAGAAAGAGAGAGAGGGGAAGAGACCAAGTCTCTCTTTCTCACTCTCTCTCTCTGAGGCAGACTGATCTCTTTAACCTTTCCCTCCTCATTTCCTCGTTCACTCACTGTGTCCCCACAGACACACAACTAAAGACCCATTAGAGTCTCTGTGATCAGAGCCCATCCTCAGAGTGAGCTGTGTGTGCGTGAGAGAGAGAGAGAGAGAGAGAGAGAGAGAGAGAGAGAGATATGGTTCTCTGGTGGTTCAGCTGTCTATAGTGTTATCGTCTCCACCTGTGTCTTGTTAACTCTTTGTATATCAAGGCATTAGGATTTATAAGTTTACCACAAGGAAGATGCACTTGGACGGTGAATAAAGTCATAAACGCTAGTGGGAAACACGGACAAGTTCTACTTCTTGCCAGTTTATGACTTAGACAGCTAGGAAACTCAATGACACCACGGCAACACAGCAAACAATATAGCAAATTAATAGTAAATATACAGTCATATGTAAACGTCTGAATAGCCCTGGGGCCTGTCTCAAAAAAGTTCAATATAGGCTTTTCTTTTTTAAAAAAAGGAAAAATAAATCTATGTAAATACATAGAAACTAAAGCTTTTATAAAAGGAAAAAACAGCGCTATGTCCACTTTTACAGCATTAGTGCGTTATGGACTGATAATTGCTTTATATTCTTATAATCCATGTAGTATGATTTGCTTCTTCTGATAAAAAGCAATATTCTTCAATGTTCTTTGGCCAGTCGTCCCTGTAAAAAAGTCATCTACCATTATGAGAGAGAACATCAAGGCTTACATCGAACTTAGCTTAAAGTTAGCTGGCTTAGTTATTTCTAGCTTAAAATTACACATCCTCTAAAGGGATCTTAAATATGGCATTTTATGCAAATGATACTGCATGATGTCTATTTATTTTCTGGGTTTAGCATACTGTTAAACCATAATTGTGCATTAAAATGTGATGAAGTGAGCTCTTGTTCTCCCTGTAGAGGCTGTGCACTTATTGTCATATGGGATGCATATTCTGAGAGCAACAACAATTCCCAAACAGCAGCAGTCCTGTCTGGCTTTCATTGTCTTTTCATTGTGAATGACTGATGTCACACTTTCCAACTTTATGCATTAAGATGGACCATCCGAATGCAGGTTGGTTTTCTTTAGTGATTGTGAAGAGTTATAAACTGAGCTGCATCCTTACCAAGCCACGGGCCTCCAGTGGGCTCAAAGTATTATTACACACGTCTATAACCTACAAAAAGGTTCAGTAGTTCGGACTGAAGTCCCTGTAGTTTCTAAATAATAGGCCTCGGTATGTAATAAGTAAGGAAAGTTAACGGGTCGTGGATCTTTGTTTGGCTGCTGGTTTATTATTATGGATTAGCATGTATAAGATTTGTGTTCTTCTAAATATTTCCAGATATCTAACTTTCAGTAACTATGAAGTCCTCATCTCCAAATATCTGTAATAGGCCAAGCCTCACCATGAGTTCATCAGCCAGTTCAGCTAATGAACTGCAGAGTTACTATAAGAGTCTGGTCTTTTTCTTGCATACAGAAGTTGCCTGCAGTTGTCATCACACAAAGTTTTTATATCCTTCAGCTAGACTTTAAAAGTTCCCACCCTTATTTTGCTCAACTACTGTTGTTATGAATCACTACAGGCATTCCTAATTATACAGCCTGAACAGAGAAGCGCTAATCATGAGGCAGAACATGCGGTACAGCCTAAGCTAAGCTAAGTTCAAAGATGTTCAGTGGGTCAGCTCGAGTCTTCGACTGAGACAAAGAGAATGCAGCCTTTCAAGTTCATGTATCAATGATGTAACACACTAGTCTCCATAGGAAATCCCAGCTCGTAGTTTGAGATCTCTACAGCAGCTTTATAAATGAGGCAAGAAGAGAAATTAGCGCCTGTAGCATTGTGGCAGGCCCTTTCAGCTAAACATAGTTTATTATGTCCTCCAGGGCCGCGCTATTAATCATCTAGCCCTCAAAATCACATTTTTGTCTCTGTAATTAATCATGAAAGGCCCCAATTAATGCGCGACATGTGGTAGTATGCTCACTGCATCACAAGTAAACACTTCTGGTGGGCGATCAGCTCTCATCACTCGAGTGCAGCGTTTGCATTGTGCGAGCTGAATGCATTGACCAGAGTCTGATCTCAAACAAATCACAGCCGTGTCCTGAGACGGGAGTAAAAGGACGCACCTAAATATGTCACTCATTTTTTCGATTTTTGAATACCAGGGGCCTTAAGAGACCTCAGAACTCTGAAAACTCTCATGAGGAATTATGCAGTGCAATATAATGCAATATTAGCTTAATACCTTATACAACCATTAACAAGACTTCTGTTTTAGATTCTTCAAAGCACTCCCCCTTTTGCCTTGATGGAACCTGTCAATCTCTCATGCAGTTTCATGAGGAGGCACCTGAGATGCTTATCCAACAGATCAGAAGAACGTCTACATATATTTACATAAAAACTGTTTTGACCTTGCTATATCAGATTCGCTAGTTGTATCTGTCTGACAAAGAAATTTCAAGCATATGACCATTAGCCTCAACATTAAAATGTCTTTAACCTCTTTTAACAGTGCCCCCTAGTGGCCATTCCACCAGCGGAATGGAGATCAACTCTCACGTTTGTACTTAATATTATCCAATTAAAGTGTTTTTCCCTGTAACTCTGTAATCAGATGTACTAGGACACTGTTGGCTCTCTGTGTGTGAAATGCTGTGACTGTGTTAAGCTTCTAGCAAGCAATGAGGACTGAAAGGGGAGGGGTGAGAACCCCCTGCTGTGAACACAATTCACAAAGACACTCCACAAAGCTAGCCATGCTGAGATAAAAAGGACATACTGTCAGAAGTACAGGTATGAAACTGTGACTGGGGCAGTACCCC